TAAAGAATTAAAACAGCACTATTCAAATATTTCTTTTAGTGTGTTATTTATATTTTCAATTATTTCATGTAACTTGTCTGAAGCAAAATAGATCATAGTGTCATCCGCAAATAAGATAATGTAATAGTTTCCTGCAACACGAGCGATATCATCAATATACAAGAGGAACAATAATGGTCCTAACACACTTCCTTGCGGGACACCTTGTTCATTTTGGATTTCATCTGATGTAATGTTGTTATAGTCCAGGATCCGTAAGTAAGGTCGACCTTCACCCATCTGTTTACCGGATGAAAGTTTTTTTTATTAAATTAAATATGTTTTTAAATATACCGCAAATGGGTTGCCTAAGAAAATACGGTCACGGCCATTTTTTACTTTCCTCTCTGTGTACAGATAAGGAAAGTATAGGAATCATGATAAAAGTTGTTTATGATGTCATTCTCTATTATTCTCTTTGTACATGATTTTCCTAAAATGGACCTAATTTGAGATATTTGATGAAAAGTGCAAATTTCGAATATTGAAGATAACTCAAAAACGGATGAAGAGAAAAACACAAAATTTTGAACTTAAGCTTTAATCTATCCTGCGATGAGCTGATTAAAGTTTGGGCACAGTCAAAGAATTTTGGGAATAGTTTACAGGGTGTCGTTTTTTTTTACTTTAAGAAAATAAATAGTGTGGACCGAATTTTCTTAGGCAACCCATTTGCGGTATATTTAAAAACATATTTTATTTAATAAAAAAAAACTTTCATCCGGTAAACAGATGGGTGAAGGTCGACCTTATTTCGGATCTTAGACTATTAAACTTTAGCTTCTGTTTTCTGCTATCTAAATAATTTATTAACCACTGTAATGCATCATCAACTATTCCAAATCTTTCTAATTTACTAATAAGTAATGTACGATCTACAGTTTCGAATGCTCTTTGTAAATCAAGAAATAGAGCACCAGTAAATAAATTTATTATTTTTATTTTGCTTGAAGTGGTCTAGGACATATTGTAGTGCTGTTTCACAACTATGCTTTCTTCGAAAACCAGACTGTATACTATTATATAATAGATTATTTTCCTCTAAGTAATGAATGAATGAATGAAGTATAAGAAAAAATATTTTTTAAAATGAGGTATCCTGTATATTACTAAATTTTTTTCTGTGTTTATAACAAAACTACTTTTTTATAAATACCAATATTTATTTATTTTTTTTTTTTTTCATTATGCATTATAAATAGACAAAAGTGAAACTATTATGGATTTTTAATATACTTTTTACCTATGTTTAGTAGTACATGCTTTTTATAGAAACCGATTTTAAAACGTTTATGGAAACATTCAACTTTCACTGAATCAAGTTGTAATTAGTAATTCTCCTATTTGTCACTTATGCAGTATTATAGGAATGTCAAGAATTTTACAGTTTTACAAAACAGGTTGCTATAGCTCGCTAATATGACGTTCAGCGTTATTTTTCTAGATCATTTATAATGAATTACACGTGTTAAAAAATATTTAACGTAGTCAAAAGTTGCCTATTATGCCTTTTTCCACTTTCATAGGTACCTACTATTTTTTCAAATTGGAGAAAAATTATTTAACTAGAATTATTCTGTAAATCTCAAAGAAATTTATTTTGAAAAGTCTTCAAACCAAATCTGAAACGTTTGACTTTAGACCCATATCTATGAATAATCATACATAGGGTGTTCTATACTCCCCACAAAAATTATCGCATCACTAAAATGTTTGCAATGTATGTTTATAAAAACAGGCAGTGCTAAAAAACTGTATTTCTCCTCTAATAACAGAGAGAATAAAACAATCAAAAAAATAAAATTTTGCGAAAAGATGAGGCTAAAGTAGGCTATTAATTATAACATGCTATTATTGCTGCTACACTCCACAGGGTGTTACGAATTTTCCAACCAAAACCTATATTATTGTACCACCCGGTATACGCTCAAAAATTAAATATTATTTAAAGAATCAAAGAGATTACTATTCCTTCTATATGATAGCCAAATAACTTCAATTGAAAGGATGTTTTAATATAAATGATATTGATATTGCGGGTGAGTCCATTAATTACGTAAGGTGTTCAAGGGGGGTGGAGGGGATCAAGCTAAATCTTTCCAAATCTCACTTGGGGTGAGAAGGGGGTTCTTTGTAAATCTACGTAATTTTATTTCTAATAGAAAACGGTGTAAAATTGCGTGAAAGTAAAGTTAAATTAAAGTAAGGAATGTTTTATATTACGCCAATATTCTCAAATACTAGTCTTTGCTAGTCTTAAATAAAAGTAATAGAACATATTGTGTTTTTGTTTTGTTTTTTTTTTTTATAATCCAACGCATTTACACCCAAAGCACCAGTTTTGAAAAATTTCACGTGAGATTAGGAGAGAGGGAGGGAGTTGAGGAAAATCTTACTAAATCTCACCAGGGAGAGGGGGGGTCAAAAAATCCTCAAAAATACCTCATGTAATTAATGGACGCGCCGTGTATATTTTATTTAATTATTATATATATTTTAAGGATTTCTTAAACTTTATTTAGAAATGAAATCATTTTCACATATAGACTGACTGTCTAACTAGTGTTTTCCACATTATATTAACAGTAACAATAGTTGTAACCGCCCAACCCATACTCCTTTGATTTTTTTTTAAACTGAAATTTTATTATTTACCTCTCAATTTTGTTTTACTTTAAATTCTATACTTTCGGACCTTTTTCATCTAGTAGTAGTAGTGATGGTCTAGTTAATTAATTGATAATTTACCAGGATTCTATGCAAAGTATCGTGCAAATTGGTAAATAAAACGATACAAAATTTATACTTAAACCCTTTCATTTTTCATACTTTAAAATATAACGTATTAATTTGCAATAGGTAGGTACTTTTTACCGAGATCTCACTTGTCGCACAAACGCAGAACGTTCATTTGCTATCAATATATATTTTATTTAGCTTGATTCTATTCTAGATATACACAGGATTGTATTTTATTTCGACGAGTATAGAGGTGATGACCAACGCAGTTAACGAACAGCGCCAATTCGCCTGTTGGTTACTTACTGTGTTGATGTTCACATATACTTTATGGTTCAAACCTAGTAGAATGGATGGCTAGTCTAGGTGCCCCCTTGAGCTAACGAACAGTGTCAATTTACCAGTTGGTTAACTTACTATTAAATTTTACCACCTAGGTGTGTGTATGATACGTCCCTGTATATTTCTAAAATATTGATATTTATATTTTCTATTGAAATGACCAAAATTCACATGAAATTTACATATTTTGAAGCAAATGTCAGCCCTTATTCAAACGAAACCCATGTGATATCTCAAAGAAAGGTACATTAACCATTTCGACTCACCATTGAAAATACAGACATTATGTACTAATTTTATCTTGTTGTGACTGCGTCAGTTTTGGGTACGTTGCAGCGTTGAACGTTGCCTTGCGTCGAGACGCCTAGCGTCGTGGCGGAGTGAAAGGTATTTATTACGGTACTGCGTCGGGACGGATATAAGGTAGGGAATACTTAAAAGATGCAGGAAGGGACAGCGTTTGGAAGATAAATCGTTGGGACGTAGAACGCCCGGACCTAGAGAGGTAGGGAAATAGGGCGGCGAGACGTTGAGCATCGTGCCGTGAAAGCTTTCGGGAGATAGCTCGTCGGGACGTAAAATGTCGCTACGTAGCAGCCTCGATAGGAGGTAGGGTAGGATAGGTGTCGGCTAGGAGGGTACTCAATACTGAACTTGAAATATAACTGAATCACACTGGATTTAAAATAATAATGAAATTCAAGTTCATCATTATTGGGTATTTATACCCGTTTTAATGACTTTTGTAACGTAAATTTCTCGTAACTCCGGTGGGAATGAATTTTGGTGAATAAAAAAGGGTTGTCGATTTATGTGCCTTGAGATATTCTTGGAATTTTGTGTCGATATGATGTCAAAATCTTACTTAAGATAAGCGCGTTAAATGTTTCAATTGCCATTACTTCATGAAGAGAAAAAGTTCTATTTTAATGGTTATTACTTCGAGAAAAGAAATATGATTTATGGAAGTCTTTGGGTCAAATTATGATGGCATAACGTTTTCCTACGACCACTTAGGAAAGTGACACATATCACACTATAATAGTCCTATGGAAAGTGCCCCATATCACACGCGTATGAATAAGAATTTACTTTCAACCCTTGTGCGAATATGCTACTTTCCGCATCAGCAGTCACAAAATGTCAAACGCATCATTTCTATTTTGATCTATGTAATGTCCATATTAATACTGAAATCGATATGATTGATAAATAATTGAAATTATTGTAAATTAAATCCTAGATATTTTTCTTTAACAATTATTATTAAAATAATTTTAAAATAACTAAGTTATGTTTGCTTTTTATTCTGGTTAAATACATAACCGATTAGATCATTCAAATGACGGAAGGCCTATTAGCTCAGTTGGTAGAGGATCAAACTTTATCAACTTTGCCATTTGAGACCTGGCGAACGACCGCGTTCAAATCCTTGCAGGGGCATATTTTTTTTATTTTTTTTTTGTTTAGAAAATATGAAAATTGAATAAATACGATTATTGTTGATTATTTTTTTAAATACATTTTAATTATTATAATTACCTGGTTTTACATTTTTTGGTGAAATTATTTAGTGATCGTAGGAAAAATACTGTACATCACTTGTGTGAAAAGTGATTTTCTACACTCGTGTGATACTTGCACTCGGCTTGTGCCTCGTGCGACAATATTTCCCACTCGTGTGAAAAATGTCACTTTCCACACTCGTAATGTAATATACTATTTATCTTATTTAATTATCTAAACGCTCTTTGGTAAAATGAAGGAATTTGATTTTAATAAGAATGCATCTCTTCTTTAATAAAATGGAATTAATAAATTTTGAAGGTACCTGAGTCAGTTACGTTAAATAGTTAAAAGTATATTTTCATTTGTTTCAGTTTACTGCCTGGGTGGATGCCGTCATATTCGTGTTCAGTCTCGAAAACGAATCGTCCTTTAACGCCATTTTCAATTACTACACAAAAATGTCACATTACAGAAATACCGCAGAAATTCCGTTAATCCTAGTCGGCACGCAAGGTAAGAAAATTTTTAAAAAATCTCGTAGAAAATTTAAAAAAAAGAAGCAACAGATGAGACAATTTGAATTTGAAATCACTTTGCTTTTTGAGTACTCTTGCTGAGTGCTTTTAATGGCATTGTTGTAATTTCTTCTACATCACATAGCATAGATAAAATATTAAGTAAGATAGACGGATTCAGCGATAATATTTGGAAGCTACACAATGGCTGTTTGGCTTTATAGTTAGAGGCTGAATAACAGATGAATAAAAAAGAAGACTCACTCGTAACCGTGATTTATTCAAATATCTTTTATTATTTGTTTACATTTATTGGTATTTAACACTTCAAAAAACTAATATTAATATTAAAATATTGTATTTTACATAAATACGAGGGTCATTCAATAAGTAAAGAGACAAATGGCTATAGCTCAAAACCGGTTTATTTCGATCTTTCAAAATTAAGGTTATTTTTCAAAATAATCACCTTCACAGTTATGCACTAAATAAATTTTAAAATAAAATTTTGCATAAAATGAAATTAAAATTTTAGAAATCGGCGGTGGACAAAAAAATTCTGTATAGTTGTAAGGGTGGGTTACCTTCAAATCAGCATTTAAAATAGTTGAATTAATTATTACTCACCCCCAAATTAAGACTCATGAAGCGCCTTAATAATTTACGAAATATACATTTTTTAAGTTAAACGGTCAGATATTTAAAATTTTTTCCGTTACTCCTTAGGGGTACAACTTAATATTAGTGGTCGGATACTATAGATAGGCCGCATTCAGCAGAAGCAACCGATTATCAAACGATAACTTAGCGATGACGTATCGATTAGTGAATCTCCTGAATGAACTTTTTAGGCACTTCGATAGGCGACATAAAAGTGACATGTACTTCAGAAAAAAGTCATCAACTAAAACATAGGTACAAAATTTAGAATAAAACACCAAATAAATTACTCAACTACATAATTATAAATTAATGTATTTGCCTGATTTTAATGCATTGTGCAACACTTCATTACCAACTACAATATATTTCATATTGTTATAAACATATATCACTTCAAAGTCCTTCATTTCAGTGAAAAATGACAAATTCAGTGTAAAAATTACTTCAAAATAAACATAAAATAAGGTTATGAGTTATGAGCACCACCACAAAACATTCACTTCAGTTGGTATGAGTTCTAAATCTAATCACGATGTGATAACTAATCGTATTTCAAATTCGATGTTTTAAATGGCGGCCGATAACTCATCATTTGATTACTAATCGTTCTTTTATATATCGTTCAGCAGAAAATCATAAATCGATTGCTTCTGCTGAATGCGGCCATTGTTTTGTTACTGTCGAAAATTATCGACTGTTTTAAGTAATCATCGATAGTTTTAACTCAATTTCACGGAATTCGATTCAAAAAACTAAAACTAAAATTAAAAATCAAATTTATAAAAACGCATTTTGCAATTCAGTACTAGATCATAAATAATATGTTTTAAAGGTTGCCTAATTAATTTTTTTATAATATACGCACGTCACCACAAGTGTGCCTCATGCTCTTTTCTTGTGGGCCTGCTTCCTGTTTGTGCTGCTATTGATTTATGAACTTCATTCACCCTTCTACATTTAATGATAGAGAATGTGGCAAAAAGGACACGATATAGAATGATCAGGAAGGGAGTAATCAAACGAAAGTACTACTTGCTTCAAGACCAAAGATACCTGGGATATGCCCCAGGAAAAATGAAAAGTACAGTTTTGTAAAAACTTTAAAACCACAGAGCTGGGCAGCAAGAAAGAATGGAGCCAATAATCCATCACGCTTGCAACCGAAAGACATGATATTCAGTGGTAAACGGATGGTTCCAAAACCATAGAAGGAACAGGAATAGAAGTGTATGGGCCTAGAACCAAGCACTCCGAAAACTTGAAAAAATACCCAAGCATCTTCCAGGCGGAAATTCACACCATCGAGAAGTGTATCCAGTTTAACATCGAAAGAAACTATTGTAGACAAGAGATTATCATCATGTCTGATAGTCAAGCAGCCATCAAAGTCTCGCAAGGAAAGGGGCTCAAACACCCTTTGTGGGACCCCAGCCGTTCTGCGGTATCACCAGTAACATAATATTAGGAGAGATTAAAAAATAATTGGGGAGCAGAAGAACCGATAATTGGAACAATCTCTTGGGGCTGAGACAGGCTCAGATACTTCTGGGTGAATATAACCAGAAAAGATCGGAAGCCTGCATCTGCCTGAGCAAGAGCAGGCTACGTATTGTAACAGGGATCCTTACTGGGCATTGCCGACTAAAAGGACACCTTAGTAAACTAGGGGTAGTAGCAGATAGTGAGTGCAGATTCTGTGAAGAGGAGGACGAAACCTCCATTCAAATTCTAACTGAATATGTAACACTCCAGAATTCAAGGGCCACTATACCTAGGAGCACACCGAATAGAAGAGGGTCATTTACCTAACTTGAAGCCACTCCAAATCCTACACTGCCTTGAGAAGATAGGATTGGAAGGGTCGTCATAGTCAGTGAGACATTTCCTTGCTGCATTAGCGACAGAAGGGGGTACAATAGATATTTTAGGTCGCAGTGTATTAACACATTCCCAACAACAAAACATATGATGCCGGTATACAATCAAGGGGGATTCCCGGCTCCATTAATTCAGTATCACGTGTAACATTGGTATAGTTTCGATAGTATTATCGATAGTAACTCTTGAAACTATCGATAGGGCCGACTGTCGATAGTATCCGACCACTAGTGTATAGAGGTAAGTTGCGTTAAATCATCATATTTTGGGGGTGCCAAACACGCTGTGTCGGTACTTATGCGAAACACCCGTATGTTATTTTATCACTGGTGTGTTGCCCATGAGTGTTATAACTTTTAAGGAAAAACAAAAAGTCATGAGGTGACAAATCAGACGAATGTGGGTGTTCAGGACACACTGCATTCTTGGTAAAGACTCGATCTCTGTTATTCTCGATTCTTCTGTGTTTTACAAATTAAAGATAAAGTCAACGAAAGTATTATCAATGTTCTCTCGATCGTCTGTATTCACTATATGATTGCGTATTTTATATCAGTTATTATGAACGGCAATGGACCAAATCTAATTTATTATCGACTCTGTTGATACATAATTAACACAAGAAAATTTATTATTAGATCATCCTTAGCATGTAGCTCCTAACTATAGGAAAATAAACACCTCGTAGCGAATTTTTAGCGATATGCGTTATACCAGAGGAGGTGAGAACAGTTAGATGTTTGTTTTTAATAAACTCGAAACTTGCTTCGATATAAACGAACGGATATTTTGAATTGAAATAGTTTCATACAGTTAAATGGTCAAATACAGTGCTATAAATATCCAGGAAGTTATTTTTTTTTTCGAGCATTTTAACGAAAAAGTAAGTTTTTATTGCGTTTACGCTTTAAAGAGACCTTTAGTTTCAAAATACAATTTCTTCTGGCTTCTATCCTACTTTTTACTTTCCTGTCTTTTATACAAATAAGGAAAGTAATAGAAATCATGATTTTTCGACGGATTTTTTGTGTGTTTTTATACTCGGATAAACAGAAAAACACCAAATTTTAAACTTAAGCTATAATCTATCCTGCGGTGGAATAATTAGATTTTGGGCATAGTCGGAACAGCTGGGGGGCTTTGAGAGGGTCGTTTCTATATTTTACTGAATATATCTGTTATTTTTGAATGAAGAAAAAATTTAATTAAATAAAAGTTGCTTCTGCTGTTATTCGCTATAATTTTTGTCCTATACATGATTTCCCTAAAAATGGACCGTATTCGAGATATTTTAAGAAAAGTGCAAATTTCAAATTCTGAATATAAATACGGATAATGTGAAAAACACCAAATTTTAAACTTTAGCTTTAATCCATCCTGCGGTAAGGTAATTAAATTTTGGGTATGGTCGAAGCATCTGGGGAAACTTATAGAGTATCGGTTTTTTTGTTTTTACTTCAAGGAATAACTGTTATTTACGCTTTGAGAAGAAAATTCTTTAAATAAAAGTTGTTTGCGATATCATTCTCTATAATTTTCGCTCTATGCATGACTTTTCTAAAATTGACCGTAATGGAAAAATTTGGAAAAGTGTAAAATTTAATTTTTTTGCAACGAATATACAGGGTGTTTCAAAAAGGTATGTCATAAATTCTTCCACAGATAGATTACCTAAAAATAAGTGGATTTGGCTATATTTACCTATATCAAAAACTGGCTCCTAACAAAGTTACAGGGTGTTAAACTAACATTCAAAAAAACGATTTTTTTTTTGTAAAAAATTTGCTGTTGCAAATTTTTCTTTGAAATTTTTGCCAGTGCTGTAGATTTGAAGGCCCAATATTCCAAGGAGAAAAAAAAATTAAAGCGACCCCTTTAAAAAAAGTTGGGGGGTTGGGTACCTTTCAACCCCCCGTATTTTTTTGGTCATAAAGAAACTTGCCTTATCGATCTAAAAATCAAAAAGAGCTATGAATTTTTAATTTTTTTTATAGCAAAATGAACTTTGTATCTTTCTTAGTTAACGAGCTATTTACATATTTTTAACTGCATATCTAGAGCAATTCGTCCGTCCTGGACTTAACATACCAACAAAACTAAGAGTAGGTCAGGAGTTATTGTACAAAAAACGCATATAAAAATCAGTGGTGTGTACTAGGGCTGTGCTTGAGCCGCCCCTGCAAAACTACCTCTTTTATTTATATTTTGTAAAAAGGGTATTTATAATATTGGATTGGTGCCATAAAAATGATGTGCCACCCTTGGTTTACCATGCCACTGATAAAAATACACGTCAGTTTGGAAATGTATTTATTAAATTTAATAGTAATTAAAAAAAAATATTTTTTAATTAAACAATTAACAAAAAATTAACAATTATAAATAAACACTTGACAATAATTATTATACATATTTTATAAACTATTTAATTTAGTAAATGTTTAACATGTCCTCCTCTTTCTTAAATACAAAAATATAAATAAAAGAGATAGTTTTTGCAAGGGCGGCTCAATCACAGCCCTAGGCACACCACTGATTTTTATGTGTTTTTTGTACAATAACTCCTGACCTACTCTTAGTTTTGTTGATATGTTAAGTCCAGGACGGACGAATTGCTCTAGATATGCAGTTAAAAAATTGTAAATAGCTCGTTTACTAAGAAAGATACAAAGATCATTTTGCTATAAAAAAAATTTAAAATTCATACTTCTTTTTGATTTTTAGATCGATAAGGCAAGTTTCTTTATGACAAAAAAATACGGGGGGGGTAAAAAGATACCCAACCCCCCAACTTTTTTTAAAGGGGTTGCTTTAATTTAACACCCTGTAACTTTGTTAGGAGCCAGTTTTTGATATAGGTAAATATAGCCAAATCCACCTATTTTTTGATAATCTATCTGTGGAAGAATTTATGACATACCTTTTTGAAACACCCTGTATATAAAAAATGTTTCGAAATAGATGTGTGCGGAAAATGTATGTAATTAGTTCATCCTATAAGTTCAAGCCTATAATAACTACACAGGGAAGTCATGTGTTGGATACATCAGATTTTTTTTAGATAAACACAATAATTGCTTTAAAAATGTTAATAGTTCCTTTTAAGTATTATAATATTCAGTGAGCACATCAAGGTTGGAACAAATCCAAAACCAGTTTTCATAAGAAAAACGTTTGTGTGCTTTCTCTAAAAAATTTCACCATAAATAATAAATGTTGAGAATAGATTTTTCCATTTATATTATGTATACAACGTTCCTCCCCTTGTTTTAACTAAATTGAAAAGTAAATTCCACCTGTAGGTAATTACTAGAAAGCCGAAGCTCTAAGTTGTCACAGCAACCACTTTGAAAACATTGAGTTAATTACGCAAGCAAACAACAATGTATATGAATTATTCATAAGTTTTTTTTTTAGTTATATCTTTATTGTTCGGAAACAAAGACTTAAAGTAAAAAAGAAATACAATTCTTAATCATTAAATTTTTCTGTTTTAGACGCAATAAGTGAGAATAATCCTCGTGTGATTGATGATTCCCGTGCAAGAAAATTAGCGAATGATCTGAAGAGGTGTACATATTACGAAACTTGCGCTACTTACGGGCTTAATGTAGAACGCGTTTTTCAAGATGGTGAGTCAAAAAATGGACATTTTCTAGAAATAATCCAAAAAAAAATATATATATATTATATATAGTTTATTTCTAATATTAAAAACAATCCAATCGAAACATTTTTATGTTTCGAAAATAATGATTTTATATCTATTAGATTTAAAAAATAGAATTTATATTTTTTAACTTGTCAAAAAATAGTTCAACAAAAAGAAACATTTTTGATTTTTAAAAATGATATTGTTACCGCTACATTTACAAAATTTAATTTAATTTTTTTAGCATGTCAAAAAATAGTTCAACAAAGGCTGTCGGCATCAACATTGTGTTTAACGCCCACGAATTCGAGGCCTTCTACGCCGAATAACCATTATTACCCAGGCTCGATGTCCGTTCAAAGGCATTTGTTGCAAGGCAATAATGGGTACTCTCAACTGGGACAGTCCCAACCACATATGTCTCCTGGACATAATCATACCCTCTGTCATAAGGTAAGAACAACCTCTTTGAACTTTTTTGGTCTAAGTTATATCTCTTACTAATACACTAATTTATATTTTCAATATTTATGTGAACAGGACGATATCTTGACAAAAACTTAAACTTCCAACGACAAAACAGTCTATATAGATTATGTGGCGTTTCGTGAAAATTCCAGACTTACTGGACCTGTGCTTCCACCACAGTTGTTATTTCTAGATGTTTCGTCAAACGGGTCTAGTATTTCATAGAATAACGATTCACTTCGCTTGTGGAAGCGTTTATGTAGATATATTAATAATACTGATATTCATTTGTGAAATAAGAAAAATTATCTTTGAACGAAACTATACAGGTTGTTCCGAATTGAATTGTTTTGCAGGTTATCTAGAAAACTAGAGGAGATAGAAAAGAAGTTGTTGAGATGTCATGACTTTTTCTGTTAAAGAAATGATTGTCCAATATCTTCAATAGCGCCTTTCATTTGCGAGATACAGGGCGATTATTAAAGACTTTCAAAAACTACAAGATTGTATAACTTCTTCATTAAGAAAAATATTAAAAAACTTTATAGCAACTTCTGATTGATATATTATGGAAGAGGTTAGTGGCGTAGAAAAAAATTAAAGGGGTCTTTCTAAGGAAATATAATACAAACTTGTTTTTTTTAATGGGTTATCACATTGAAGACACTTACAATATTAAATACTTAGTGACCTCGTTAGTAACGCATTTTAACATTTTATTATGAGTACACTAATCCATGGCAATTTTATTTACCAAAAAAAAAATTAGTAGTTCTAAGTTTATTATTTATTTTATAAGTAACTTCTAATTTTTTTACTTTTGCTTACCCTTTACCATTTTGAAGCAACGTGCGATACATTTTTGGAAATTCCATTAAAAAATGGTAGTGACGTCATCTCACGAAGGTAGGTCACCCTGTATATTAGATTACTATTATAAAAAATAGTAAACTAAAATGAAAAACCGTCCTTTCTTGGGAATTTTTAATAGTAATATTTATTTGGCTAATAATGAATGTATGCTTTACTTTATGGATGGACTATATATATTATATCGGATCAAACAAAATAAGAAATAAATGTTAACGAAAAAGGTAATAAAATACAGGGTGTTCTATTTCATGATAATTTTATTTATAAAAAAATGGAGTCAGTAATTTAATAGTTATTTATGTACCAAAGTCAGCAAAGTGATGCTTTATCGAACCAGTCTGAGATTATGAGCCGAGCGAGAGAAGCGAGCGAGTCAAGTAACAGGCGCAAACCGTAAATAATTATTATTAATAAAAAAGGAGATATTATAACATCACATTTTAGTAAAAAAGTAAACAAACCGAAAAATAACAGCAAATACGAAACAAATGAATTATAGACTATTTCTGTCAGACGATCATGGCTATGTTGATAAATATTAGCGGCAGATAAAATATTTGATTTTTTTCTACACCCACATGGATATTAGCTTATCTACGCACAGACTACAAAACGAAAAAGTATACTATTGTCATTAACTGAACGAATATATTTTATATCCATTCGATGTAGTGAGAACACTGCAAAAAAATGAAATCCTATCAGTATTATATAAATTAATTAGTACGTTATAAATAAATTTTAAATAGTGTGTTTTAAATAAATAAACTATAAATAAATTAGACTATCGTTACAATATCCATAAAACATATTAATTTGGGACAACCTGTACATTGTAAAATCGTTATCTTATCATATCACACTTATCTTTATACAATTAATCCTTATTTTTTTTTAATATTATCTCTGCATTGTACTAATTAGAACCTTTTTTTGTTTTATTTATGAGATTTTTGATTTCTGATTACGTATATATTTCTATTTTTTCATTTCGTAAAGGATAATGTCGATATTTAAAAAATGGTATTTTCGTTTCTGACATGTACGTGTAGATCTGTAAGTTTTAAATAAATATTAGTAACGATTTTATTTTTCCAATATACATTAAATTGTAATTGATTTAATTAATTTTTAAAATCGAAACTAGAAGTATAAAAATAGATATGCTTAAACTAGTTTATATTTTAAAAGAAAATGTCCTTTATATCTCATACTTGTGAGATACAAAGGACCTTTTCTGCCTTCTTATTCCTATTACTCACATATAAGTTAAATTATTTTTTTTAGGAACCTCCTAATCCTCAAACTATCGATCTACGGCAAGTTCACACTTTAAAATCCAATACTTCTCATTTTATTCATCGAGAAGGAGCTGACAATAAAGAACTGGTCTATAAATCTTCCGATGAAAAATGGAACTCATCAACATCTACAATTGGCAGCCATGCTTCATCTCAAGTAATTAAATATAACGCTTATGCTACTTTGAAAGTGAATTTACCTTCACATAATTATTAAATCTTCTATTTTTTTAGGGTGTTGTGGTGCATACGGAAAATAACAATGTAACGAAATTCGCGGCTCCTCACTCTTTAGATAATCTTCAAAACGTTCATAATAGTAGTTCGAAAGATAACAAAGATTTACCGACGCCGAATTCTACACCAACGACGTCCAGAAAGAATCGTCGAAGATCGAATCTTTTTACGCCCAGTAAAAAAGGTGATGATAAATTGAAGAACGGTGGCGATTTTGGAAGTGGACGGGCTATTCCTCTAAAGCAAGGTAAGAATTCCGAAATATATATTATTAGACAATCTTGTAAGGTGTTTTTTGCCTCTATTAATATGGTTTTAATACGCGTCAAAAGGACTCTGATGGAGATACAGACATTCCAGGGGTCAAATAGGGTATCAATATTAATGAAATAAATATGCAATTATCTCTGTTTACTTTATACATACTCAAAAACAATAGTCCCTCATTGAAGATAAGTTTTCGGACCGACGCGTCCGTCATAACCATTTAAGGAAAAAGAATGCCATTCCATCTCATAATAAACAAATGTTCAAAAAAATCTTCTATTTACCCAATTGCATTGATATACTAAATTTCAGTATTTCATTAAGAGCCTTTAAAAATAGATGCAAACACATTTTTCTATGTAGACATTTTAAATTTAAAGTTTTATATGAAATTTAATATTAAAAGGTCTTTTTTATTTATTTTTTTTTATATAAAATAAATACCCTTTGAGTGGTATTTTTAACCGATTTCAAAAAAGGAGGAGGTTCTCAATTCGTCAATATTTTTTTTATGTATGTTCAGCGATATTTCTTTAACACGGTGTCCGATATCAATGATTTTTTTTATTAGAAAGGGGGTACTTCAGGGGTTGTCCCATATAAATTTGGTCAAAATCTAATAATTGGGTCCATGAGAAAATCCTCAAACTCTTCATTTTTATGTATGATCATCAATAATTCTTTAACACGGTGTCCGATTTCAATGTTTCTTTTTTTGTAGGGAAGGGGGTACTTCAGAAGTGGTCCCATATAAATGTGGTCAAAATTTAATAATTGAGTCCATGAGAAAATCCTCAAACTCTTCATATCAATAACATTGATACAATAGTATCGAGAGCACTTGGTATGCTTCGGTTTTTAAAGAGAAACACATCAGACTTTAGAAGTATTAATGCTGTCAGGTTATTGTACTGTAGTCTTGTTAGGCCTCAGTTAGAATATTGCTCTTCAGTCTGGAACCCCCAGTATACTTGTCACATTCATGGATTAGAACAGGTTGAGAGAAAATTTATTTGCTACTTAGCATTTAAATCAAATATTCCACGGATAGATGACTGCTCCTATGATTTTGCAGCACTGCAAGAGACATTCTCCTTACCAACTTTGAGAATAAGAAGAGATCAGGCGGATCTGAAATTATTTTTTAAGCTCATTAATTATATGGTTGACTACCCTTCATTGATTTCAAGCATGTTGTTGGCAGCCCCAACTAGAAGCACAAGATCAATAAACAGTTTTCATCAGCCGTTTCACGAAAAGCTGATGATTGTGCTGATAGTCTACATATTTTTAATCCAAGCTTTTCTAATTTTGTGAGGGTGTTAAAACTTACTGTGACTTAAATTCCCTAGTCTTAATATTAGTTGTTTCGATTTTGTACATGTTAATATATTTATGATTTTTGTTGTTAATTTATTAGTTTATCATTATTATGACATATTATTTAGATTGACTCTATTTGAGGTTTTTTTTGTTTTTATTTGTAACTTTGTACTGAAAGTGGGCATCCGTGAATAAATAAAATAAATAAATTTACCAGTTTGGATATTTGTTTATCCATTTTGCTCAGTTTCTTTAAAATTTGTTGAAGTATGGCATCGGTAGGTGAATTAGTTTGTTTTGGTTGATTTTCATTGCTGTTTTTCAGTTTTCCCATCTAATATCGGATCGTATGTCTCTTTCCTTGGAGTTTGCTCCTGTTCATCAGTTTTCTTTTTGCAATTTTAGTTTTCTTAGTTTGTTTCTCTTTGATTTCTGCATTTCTTTTGCTATCTTGCATTTTCGATCATTTGCTGAATGATTATCTCCACAGTGTACATATTTCCGCTGTAATATGTTTTCCTGTGCATATCCATTTTCCACTCATTGTATTATATGTGATAATATTTTTAGGCTACTTGTATAAAAGGAGCAGCAAACCTTTAAACAAAGAATGGAAAAAGAAGTACGTAACTTTGTGCGACGATGGTCGGTTGACGTATCATCCCAGCCTTCACGACTACATGGACGATGTTCATGGCAAAGAAATTTCCTTACAGTACGTGACAGTAAAAGTTCCCGGTCAGAAACCCCGAGGATCTAAATCGATTATAACGGTAGCAGGAGGAGGTCATCACAATGTTATTAACGAAGGATTAGGAGGATTATCGCTTGCAGGTAAATAAAATAACTCGACTTAAAAAGGCTACTAACTGCAGTCGAAATAAAAGATCCAATGCCGAATTGCAATCTAAGCATTTCAATGGCAGGCAGTGCTTGATTAGATAAATAATCTATTTATTCAGCAATGTATACCACACAGTTATTAATGTTATAAAAATCCAAATTCAATGTTTAATACTACTAACATTTTTAGTGTAATCTCTATTAGAATTTTTCTTCACCAACTCTATGTTAAATGAAACCGACAACCTATTATATCGTTATCCGAGAAAATTTCTTTAACACTGTTTGAATAGCTGGTTCAGAATCTGTAACTATATATTTGGGTGGAGCGAATTTAGAAGATTTTTATAAATTTTGAAAGAATGTAATGCGCTATAGTCTAAATAAAAGAGAAGTACAGTAAAAGTGGGTATAAACGTCATATTCCATAGGCACAATAAGTTTCTATAATATAATTAAGGTCTCGGCATATAAAAAGGTATACAGGGTGTACCAATAAACACTCCCAGACCGGATATTTTGGTAAGAAATAGAGCTACTTTAATTCTGTTATTTGGCATTATTCAATGGATTTTAAGAAAATACTAAAACAGGTCTATTTTAATTCCAAATTGAACACATTTTTACAATACAGACATCTGTCATATATCAACCCCTTCCCCCTTCAACTTCATTAACCCTTTAATTTTAAATAAGGAACGTACCATAAATGGCATATCATTGAAAAAGTAATTTTATGAGGGATTCAGAAATATGCGTTACTTTTAATTTTAGCGCCCTCTAGCGAAATAAGAAATTATTACGTATTATAAAGTGTGACATATAACATTCTAAATATCTCCATACTGCACTTGTAACAAAATAAAGAGCAATAATGTTAAAAATAATACATGACTAATTTTAAAACTTTTGCAATATGAAATTATTTATATTAATGTTATGGTGCTTTCAAATGAAGTGTCACACTTTATAATACGTTACAGTTTTTTATCTCAATAGAGAACGATAAATTTAAAAGTATCGCAATTAACAGTCCTATTTCTGAATTGTCCATAAAATTACCTTTTCAATGATGTATATCACATGCTACACATATTTTATATTTAAAATTAAAGGTTTGGCACATGACAGATGTCTATATTGTAAAAATGAGTTCCCTTTGGAATAAAAATAGATCTGTTTCAGCATACTCTTAAAAATAACAGAATAGAGTGTTTTGAGTGGTCCACTCTGTAATGTCCAAACATTGCCTTTTCCAAACAATTTATATCAAACTAACTAATATTTTTGTAATTTATTGGAAACAACACTGCTTTTACAATGGTATCTACCTTGACTATTGTGACAAACTATATATTTTTTAATTTAAAAGAAATAACAAACACTTTACATGGCTGAGCTTACAAATAGGAAAATAATTTTAACAATATTTTAAGATTTTATGGTATAAGGTGTTCGAAATTGTTGCCATCTTCATTTATATAAAAGTTAAATCTTCTAATCAGTTCACCTATACAAAGTGTATGTAGATTAATAGCAGCAACACTGCCATATATTTTATTATAAAGGTCGGCCATATCCTCTATTGGTTCTTGGTAAACGCTAATTTTTAAATGGCCCCACAAATAAAAGTCTAATGGTGTAATATCGGGAGATCGAGCAGGCCATCTGAGTACGCCTCTGTTACCAATCCATCTTCCTGGATATGTTTGGTTTAGATAATTAGTGACAATGTTATGATTATGTGGGCCTGCTCCATCATGTCTAACTGGATTGGTAAATTCTGTAACAACCCTGGTAAATCATTTTGCAAAAATTGCAGATGAGGTGCACCAGTTAAATTTATAATGCCCCATAAAATGCCTAATAAAAGTAGCTGCCAAATGAAGTGTCACACTTTATAATACGTAATAGATTTTTCGCTAGATGGCGCTAAAATTAAAAGTAACGCAATGAACAGTCATATTTTTGAATTTCCCACAGAATTACCTTTTCAATGATGTGCCATACATGGAATATTTCCTATTTAAAATTAAGGGGTTGGAGAAGTGGAAGGGAGGGGTTGACACATGATAGATCTCTGTATTGTAAAAATGGACTTTTTTAAAATTTTCTTAAAATCCAATGAATAATGCCAAATAAAAGAGTGAAACTGTTTTGAGTGACCCAATCGAAAATGGCTAGATTTATCGAATTAGTTCATAGAACAAAATCTGCTTAAAAATTTATTTTTTACAAGATGCGCTACATAAGAAATATCCTTCTATAAAAAAAAAATATTGAGCGCAACTCCATCTGCATATTGACCTATTTAAAATCAATTTATTTTTGAAACTGAAGCTCTCTTAGTACTTTGTGAACTGGCTTTCACAGTATTGATATATCTCTATTTCTTACCAAAATATCCGGCCTGGGTGTTTTTATTGGTACACCCTGTATACGCACTTTGTTAATTAGATTTTAAATGATACAAGTTATATTATTTTCAAAAATAAAAATAAACCTTATGCTGCGGCAGGGGGTGGGTGGCTCAGTGGTAGAGTCTCTGCCTGTGGATCCAAGGGTCCTAGGTTCGAATCCCACCGTTGTCCGGGATTTTTTAATTTAATTTAATTATTTAAAATTAATTCTGATGCCTTGGTAGGATTCCCCACTCTATCATTCACTGGTGATTTCCAATTAACAATGCTGTTCCTAAAGTGGCGTTGGGAAACAGTAACAAAGCCTACACATAACACGTGGCTAATAACCTTAGTAGTTGATGCCGATGACACAAAAAAAATCTTATGCTTATGACAAAATTGTTGCACTTCAACATTGAACGAATTAAATTTAACCAATAAATAACAAGGAGGTAAATTTCAAATTTTTTTGCCCGGTTGAATAGAGAATAAAACCCCCTTTTAAATGAGCTATCACTCACCACCCCAGGCCATTTAAATTTTTCGAAAGAGTTACTCCCCTCCAGTAAGGGATGAAATTAAGGGTAAACTATTCATACAAAAATGTACATTGTAGAAATCAAAAAAGACCTATGATGCTCACTGTATATAACTAAAATTATTCCGAATCAATTAAAATACATACGATACGGCTATGAATAAATAAAGTTTGACTTATCTGTCAAAAAAAAGGTTTATTAGAGTAAAAACCATGGAAACATGATTAAATCTAAACGCAAACTTTTATTAGGCCGATCAGATGTATTACAATTTTCATTTTAACTACATATAATCATTGGAGGATGAGGTATAAATGAAATGTCTACCTCTTGAACCTGTACTACGGTCTGCAAATTAAATTACTGCACTCCTTTCTTCTCTAAACTATAGTACGGAAAAGTTACATTTGGGGTGTATTTAAATTTTAACAATAATATTTAGAAATGTCCCTGAAAGTCTTGAAAGTCTTGAAAATTTAATTCTCTAATATTTTTTTTTTTATTTCAATTATTATTTTTTTAATTTCCATATATTGTAACGAGCTAATGCAAAAATGTTCCGTTTGGAAGCTTAAAAGATTCTAAAAATTTTTATATTTTCTATCAATTCTTTTTTGCATTATTTTAGTTTCAATGACGTCGACTGAACTCATTTGCATTTTTCTCTGTTGTCACTGATCTAATAAGAAGGCCCTTTCTTTGAGGGGTATTTTTACTTTACAATTACATTACAAAAATCAACATGTCAAAGAACTTTAATTTTGTAAAAATTACTTTTTCTTACCTTTTATTGGATTTGTAAGAATTTAATATTTTTTGTAATTTGCTTTCACTATATCGGACAAAATAGGTATTGAGACTTTCATCGAAGTCCTTTTACAACAATTTTTGTTATTTTATAGGCATTTGATTCTTTTTTACAAGTTAATTTCAACTGTTGTCTAATCCACAATAGATATTTTATCAAATCACAATAAGTTGTTAATGTTAAAATTTCAGAATCTTTATGCATTTCTTGATGAATTAACTTCCTTGGTTTCGTTGACAAGTTTTATGTAGATTTTAACTTTGCTGCTAACTTTCTGTCTATTAATAATTGAGGATCACCACTATCATGACTGTATTCCATTAAGTTTTGAAAATGTTCCTCCTAATAATTTCATATTGCAATCCCTTTTTCTGTAGCTCCAACATTCTTTCTTATTTTTTTGAGCACTTTATATGTATAAATAGGACTTCATTGTTCAATCATTAATAATTTTTGACCCCTTTCACTGGTACTTTCCATAATCTTCATATCTTTAACTTTATCAAAGTTACTAAACTTTATTAAACTTCACAGGCCTGCGAATAGCAAATTGATATTAAAATTATCTACATTTTCGAGCTATATGTAAATTCAAAATATTAAAAACTAATAATTTGAGATTATTTTAATTCTTAATTAAAGAAAGGGTATAAACTTGTTTAAAGGTAGCATTTGGGAAGACGAGACCGAGTAAGATGACAAGCGACAGGCAGCAAGCAGCAAATACTGCTGTGTTAAAAGTGCTGTCGTCGGTCGCGCTGTCCCAAATATGTTTCATATGTTCAGACGTGAAAAGACCCTTTCCAGTCTCTTTCCTGTCGCTTTACTTGGTCTCGCTTTCTCAAATGGCATTGAGGGATAATTTGGTTGGTTTAAAGATTATATACCTACCATGTTAAATGTATAACACATTTAAAATATATTGAATTGTAAATTGATGCAAATAAACTATTATTACCCACTTAAGAGAATAATAATATTGTAATTTGCATTTCATGTTAATTTTTTATAATCACAAGTAATATATAATTACAAATTTTAAAAATTTTAATTTAATACATTAAGAGAATATTAATATTTTTGTAATTAATGTAAAATTTTATCTATTCACAAATCAAAAATGATTTATAAGAGACACCTATGTATATTTAAAATTGTACTCATAGTTGGACTGCAATTTGCTTCTTTTTCTAGCAAATAACCTAATACTTTAGACTGCAATTCGGCATTTGTAAAAATTCGTTATTGTAAAAAATTATACATTTGATTTGATTTCCACTAGGCAAAGAAAAAAGGCCGACAGAGAGGGTATTGCTTGGGGCGTTTGACAGTGTTAAAGATTCGAATTCGAGGTACGGACAACAGGCGAGCGGCGACGAAGGAATGGCGTTATCGAGCAGCAATTCTTTCTTAAACGGAGAAATTACCAAGACTGAAACTCCTCATGTCAAGAAAAGACATCGGAGAGTTAAGAGTAGCGGAGTTAAAAATTCCGAGTATGACGGTAAGCTGTTACAGGTTAAAATTTTAATGGGATTTATTTAGGAATAGTTTAACATTAGGGTTGGGTAAAATAATCGATTAGTCGATTAACTTTTTTTTAAATCGATTATTTTTGATTATCGATTATTTTTTATTCATCGATTAATCGAATATTACCGATTATTTTAATGAATCGTTTATTTATATTGTTAATCGCCCTATTTAACATTTACTGCAGATATAAAAGGTAAAATAAATGCTACACAATCTATTAATTTATTTCATAATAATTCTATTATTTATCTAGATTTTAACAATAAGCATATTCACTATTTGTTATATTTTAAAATGGCAGGTGAGATCAGGCTGCTAAACGACCTCTTAAAACTGTTGAAAAGTGGTGGTTTTGTATTGAGAAAATGTGCTAGCAACGATCCTTAGTTAATCCGAAGGTTACCAGAAAGTTACAGAGATCAAGAAATACATTTGATTGAAGATAATACTAGAAAGTCATTACAGTCGACTACAAATGAAAATTAACCATTCCATAGAAGCCATTACAAAGAGGCACATATTGTCTGAAATTGCTAAACTGTTCAACCCACTAGGATGGTTAGCTCCAGTAATAATACAAGCAAAGATATGAATACAGGAGTTGTGGCTTCAACAAATCAGCTGGGACCAATCTGTGAATCGACAAATTGCTACCAGTTGGGAAAACTTCAAAACTCAGATGAACACTATCGAAGATATCGAAATTCCGAAATTAATCTACTGTGAAGAAACTGTAATATTACTTCATGGGTTTTGTGACACTTCCCAAAAGGCGTATGGTGTAGTTATTTACAGCAAAACAAAAATAGATGGTATCTCACACAGCAAAGTCAAATGTTGCTCCAGCAAAAACAAAAACTACCTTACCAAGGCTTGAACTGTGTTCTGCAGTACTGTTAGCGAAACTAATGGATAGAACAGTCAAAGCCCTCAAAATAGAGTCAGTATATCTCCATTCGTTATGGTAGAAGGGTCCGAAATGGTTACATAAACGTGACTATTCTCCAAATATGCTTGAAATCCCTGACACTGAAGAGGACAAACGAATTAGCAACATTTGTTTTCAAATCATCAGATCAGCAGCGAGTTTGCAAAGATGATTCGAGTACTATCATATTGCAAAAGACTTAAAACCCATGAAAAAGGTCCATTAACTCCTCAAGAATTGAATAACACTTTAAAAGGAATGATAAAGCAAGAACAAGCACGGATTTTCTACCAGGAGGTCTGGGTACTCAAAAAAGATGGTTATATGGTTATGTAAACAAAACGACAAGTAAAATATCCAATTTAACCCCTTTGATTGATAATGAAGGGATTCTAAGTGTTGGGGGAAGTTTGAAAAATTCAAATTTACCTTACGGGCAAAAATACCCAATCTTACTTCCAAACCATAATCATCTCACGGACCTAATAATACACAACAGTCATAAGAAAACGTTGCATGGAGGAATTCAACTGACACTTGCATATTGTAGACAAAAATACTGGATTATTAATGGAAAACAAGCTGTCAACAAAATAAAATAAATTACTGCAAGTTAACAGTTTTGTATGTGCTAACTTGAAAGATCTAATTTCTATATTTTAAAATAATATTTTTATGCAATGAAAGAATTAAATTATTTCTTATACAGGTTGTTCATTTATTTTCTTGATGTTCAAGATTGAACAGTCAAAATAATTCCAAAAGATATACAAATTGTTATTATTAATAATATTGAAAGTCGATTTTAATGATAATTTTAATAAATGATTATTAACATGAATTTTAAACATTCGTTGTTATTTTTTATTATTTTAGTAGTAACCTTATGTGAATTTATTTGTTTTATAGTTGTTTCTTTTTGTTTTTTTAGACACCGATGCGAACGAATTTTACATCGTTTCTCTAGACAACAAACAATGGCATTTCGATGCTTCCAATTCCGAAGAAAGGGACGATTGGGTGGCGGCCATCGAACAACAGATTCTGAATTCGTTACAATTAAATGAAACGTCGAAAGCAAAGAGCAATCCAGCCGAGGCGAGTACTATTCAGTCGATTAAGGCTAGAGTGGCTGGAAACGGGTTTTGTGTCGATTGCGATGCACAAAGTAAGTAAATCGAAAAGATAGAAAAGGGATATTCAATACATTAAAAAATCCCAATCTACAAAAATTCTGATTAATCATTTATCAGTAAAGCCCATCGTGAAAAGCCTTGTATACGATAAATAGTAGTTATTGTAGGTGTTTCTACTTTGTAGAAATAAAAAAAAAACAAATAAACATGTGTCTCTAACATAACTCTCAGAAAGTATAGATACTGCTTACCACTATGGGGTGGATGAACTATGTAATATAATAACTTTCAAAAAATTATTAATCCTCAGAAAGGCAGAATTAAGGTATAACGTACATTTTGACAGACCAACTACTAAAATAATTTAAAAGACCCCAGAGCAAGTCAAAATTCGAAGAAACAATTTTCCAATCCAATTTCGTTTTGGAAAATATTGTCAGTTGACATAAGAGCTCAAAAAATATTCATAATGATGTAAAAAATTCTTTATTATTGAAATAGACCAGTGGTCGAATTACAAGATAAAATTTAATTTAGCTACAAGTGCTTTATAATAATAACATAAATGCTTAATTAAAACTTACATAAACGAATATGCAGTAATTTTACTTATTTTTAATAAGAAAACTCTTAACATTTTTTTTTTGAATATGCAGCGTGTCCCCCCCGAATAAACAGAAAAAAAGGATAAACTTTTTTATTTTCCCCTTTTCAAAACAATATTATTACTTCATGATAAAGAATATAAAATGAATAAATACATAAAAAAAATGTTTGTCATTGTTTTACTAAAACAGAGATATTCAACTTCTGAATTATTTTTATTATTTTTGAAACAAGCATAAACTTTTAAAAGAATAACATTTTCTCTAAAAACTATTTGGGCTAATTATAATTATTTTAGGGGATTGTAAAACGTCGAAACATAATTCTAAACCATTAAGGATCTTTATTGTATCCTTATGTCGATTGACCATTTTTTCCAAATCAAAATTAGATTTGGAAACATTATTTTTCAAGTTTTCACACTCTTTGGGCTCATTATAATTATTTTAGGGGATCGTCAAACCTCGAAGAATAATTCTAAACCTTTTTGGATCTTTATTGTGCCTTCCTATCAATTGACCATTTTTCCAAATCCAAATTCGATTTGGAAACATTATTTTTCGAATTTTCACACTCTGGGCCCTCTATAATTATTTTATGGGATATTCAAACTTTGAAATATGATTCAAAATCTTTTTGAATCTTTATTATGCCTGCCTGTTGACAGAACATTTTTTTTTCAATTATAATTTGATTTGAATCTTATTTTAATATAGAACTCTACTTGAATTGAAGCTATGAACGAAAATGTCAACATGAGAATTGACAGCTATACATGTAACTTTATGCGCTCTGGCGTATGTATGTATGCATGTAACACAAATATTAAATACTTTCCTGTCTGTTTTTTTTTTTTGTAAAGAAGTAATCTTAATTGTCATACTGCCATTTTCTGTTAAGAATGAAAATATTATTTATCTTTCCTCCATGGAAAATGCAGTCGAAAATAGCATTGAGCAGAAAAAGAGATTTCGGTTCAATGAAAATCTCAATTTACATTTTTTTTTTAATACACTCTTGTACAAAAAGAAATTAATATATATTTTTATGATTTATAGATTTTTTTTGTTCTTTTTACTTCCCTCTATAAAAGGGAAGTATTGTAAACGTTTTAGGGCTCCTAGATTACGAAAAACATGTTTCCCTATTCTGTCTGTCTGTCTGACTGTCTGCCTGCCTGTCTGTTGGCGCGATAGATCTAAAACAACTTTATAGAAAAACTACAAATTTTGTATGCAGATAAGGTTCCTTTCTGGCTCAAACCCAGTTACACTTCCGATCAGTAATATACAGGATTAGCAGTTTTTAAAATAAAAATTATTTTTAAAAGTGGGCAGATTTCGACTAAAATTGGTAACTGAGAATTAGAAGTCAAAGATTACAGATCCTAAATAATTTTTTAAAAATTCAAAATGGCGCTAAAAGAAATCGTATTTTTTCGAAAAAGGTCCCACTTGAATGGAAATTAAAAAAATCGTCCTTTTGGTTTTTAAAACTATCCACAGGTTGGATCCACGTTTTTCTAATAGTTGAAACACCTATAATAACTGTCATTATCTACCGTGACCCTGTACGAATTTTCTATATCGATTTTTGTTTTCTTTTAGATCCTGATTGGGCAAGTCTGAATCTCGGTATTTTAATGTGTATCGAGTGTTCTGGTATTCATAGGAATTTAGGATCTCACATTTCGAGAGTGCGATCTATGGATTTGGATGAGTGGCCGTAAGTTGTTTTTTTTTTTATTTTAATTATATATAGTATGTTTACTTTACTTTTATATTATTAGTTTTATCATTGTATTTAGATCAACTAGTAGAACAATACCAATGCAAATTATCTTGGAAGACAATCAATAGATGGCAGCAAGCTCCGAGGTGTCCAAGTCATGTCTTTGATAATTTTGTCGTCTTCTACCGAGGCATCGAACGGTTGTCGAAACTGAATAACGACCGTAATTTCTCTATTTACTAATAGATAAAACAATAATCGATGTTGAATATTTGTTTAAAAAATGAGATATAACGAGTTTAATTAATTTATTTACGATTTTCATCATTTTAGAGACTATAAACAATATTAATTTAAATTGGACAGTCTAACCAAATTAATTTGAAAATTAAGAAAACTTTATGTATATAGAATTCTATACTCAATGATCGACGAAGCGCCTAGCACACGAGCCATTTTGATGAAGTTCTGTTTAGTTCAAACATGTCGCAACAAAATTGCCTGCAATGAAACGTCCATAAGGTTGATCTGCTAAGATATCTAAATACAATGATTTTATGCAAAAAAATTATTTGTCATAAAAAATTCTGCACGATCTAAAACCCAAAATACAACCATCAGATATCAAATTTTTTCTGTCATATACGGGGTTTGTGGAAAAATATGAAATATATTCAAGAATAAAGTAACTATCGAAATTTGCTATTAAGAAAACGACTGTCAAATATCCAATTTTCGATATTATTGAAAATAAAGGCACTTTACTCTTGCATAAAATTACAAAAATACATGTCTTTATATTTTAGACCATGCAGAACTTTGTATGAAGAATAACTTTTTTTCATAAACCTAATAATAAAGTTTCCCATATGATACTGACTTAAGTAGACACTGTATATCATTTTTTAACTGTTTTTAGTCCTGGTAATTTAGCGGTAATGCTAGCGATAGGCAATTCTTTGGCAAATTCCGTATGGGAATGTCAAATTCAAAATAGATCTAAACCGAATCCTCAAAGTAGTCGCGAAGAAAGGGAAAGGTGGATAAGAGCTAAATATGAACACAAAGAGTTCTTGCCGCCTCCCAACAACACTATGCCTTTAGGTCAACAACTTATAGGTAAGTTTCCTTAATAATTATTGTTCCCATTATTATATTTCCCATTTACTTTACTGCCTTTTCAGTAGAATAATCCTTATTAGATGTAGACTAAGCGGAGCCTGCATATTATAGACAGAAAACTATTGGCATATATATTTACTGACTCCATACTACATTGGAATAGATTAAATATTTCTTAAAATTTATAAATTTGTCTCTATCTTAAAATGTTAATCATCAATCCTTAACCTTCAGTTGCACTCAAGGAGTAAAACAAAGAACTTATTGATTTTATTTTTTGCTGACTCGATATAATGACATAATTCTAACACCTGATTTTGCAAGAGATATGAATGTATCGATTTCCGATTTGACACAGTAAGTACATAACCTTGAAATTTATACACAAATGGGCTGTCTGATTATATGTTGAAAGAAATGTATATATCTGCTTTTCCTTGTATTTCAATATTAAATTAATATTTTGTTATCTTAATGAGGTTATGTGACATAAATTAAAATAAGTAAAAATATGGATGTGTTGATTTTGTGATTTGTCACTATTCCAAAGGACTCTTATCGTAGATGGCATAAAATATGTGGTCTTCAAGTTTCACCGTTTTATTTGAAATGTCACAAACCCATGTCCTCGTTATGTTTCTCTTTAATATTTATTATTATTTTAGATTCTGTGTGTGCTTCGAATATTAAAGGAATCATTAGTGTGTTAGCGAGAGCAAACGCCCAAGAAGTGAATACCACGGTAGGACCTAGAGATTTAAGGACACCCTTGCATTTGGCTTGTGCGATGGGTAATCTGGCCGTCGCTCAACTGTTAATATGGGTAAGTTAAATAAAGAGTGTGGCATATTTAAGGTGTTAACGAAATATATTTCAAATAAACAAAAGTCGTGTTTTTAAAGTTAACCCTTTCGGGACAGATTTTTCAATTCTCCATGTGTGTTTTTTGAGACCAAATACATTTTTTTGCTGTTGACATATCGCTGGTTGGTAAAAACAATGACGTAATTAATAATAGTCGATTTTACAGTATGGCGTTTTTCAATTTACACATTTATAAATGTTCTATTGCATATTCCAAAATATATTTAGTTTATTCTTAGGTTAACATTACTAAATTATAATAATATATACAAATAAAAGAACAGACCTCCTTCAGACATCAGTCATTATTCTTGAGATTATTAATTTTAAAAAAGCAACTTATGTCTTTGACGACTAAATTTAAAATAATTGGCTCACAGAAAAACAATATTTATATTATTTTATAAAAAAATAAAATTATACTTCTAAAACAAAAGAAGAAAAATCTTAAGACATATGTCAATATTTTAGAAAAAATAGTACTTATTATGTTGGTGCACAAGAATATTAACACAACTCAAAAATTTCTATTTTCGAGCTTATTGTGAACATGTATAACAAAATCCTTACTAAAAAGTCGCGAGCTTAAGATAATGAAGAGTGACACAAATCTACTTGTGCTCCTACAGTCAAAGATACAAGATCATGGATGTCCTCCAAAAAAATGCATGTTTTTGAGTTATGCCACTATTCCTATGTATCAACGATTAGACTTTTTTTTATCTTAAATGAATAATGACGCTAACTCTGTTTAGTGAACTTTGGTCAGATTTTGACATTCTGTAATTTTTCATAATAAAATATAAGGGTCTGTTCGTTCTGCATACTCAACTCAACTTTGAAAAACAAAATGAATTGCGTCAGTATTCTTGCAAACCAGTTTAAAAAATTGAGATGCGTCAGTGTTCTCGCTACCCAGCAATATTATGATTTTAACAGAAGTATCGATTAACACAATAATTTTAATTTCAGCATAACGCCGACGTAAAATGCGTAGACCAAGATGGTCGCACTTGCTTGGCCTACGCCAAAGCGGCGGCGAGCATCGCTTTAGCGAAATCTCAGTCAGCGCCCGGGATAGACCTGGAGGTTTCGGCGGCGGCTTGCAAAGCGTTGGTCGATTTGTTGCTCTCTTATGGTTGTCCAGAGGCGACCAGCGTCTCCATAAGCGGCACCATACCCAGGCGAAGAGGAAGTTATCAATCGGCTCCTGCGGGGCAAATTGGCGGTTATGATAAGACGCCTTCTAGCGTACTTTAAGGAATGGTAGATAAAGTGGCTATGCTTGCAATAGTTCGAAAAATATTAATTTGGTCTAGACATAACGGAATTATATTTCATTCCATTTATTACAGAAAAATAAGAAGGTTAACGAAAAAAATGGGAACAGACAAAATTTTCCTGTGTCTAAAAGGTAAAATACTAGACTCCGACTTCCGCAATTGAATTTATTTATTTCAATTTTTATCGGTTGAAGAGTAAAAGTGTAAAAAATGTAAAGCTAAAAAAGTTTGTGTCCTAGGCCGAACTGTGTAGTTCGTTTTTAAAAAGTTAGAGGGTTCCGACGATACCAAAAATTTGTTTGTCCACATTTTGGCTTTCAAAAAGTGTTTTGTTTCGAGTTTTTTTGTTCATTTGATTGTTTTTTCATAATGGTACCTATAACACCATAAATTTGAAAATGAGTTGAATCAATTATTCCATTTTGTTTCCGTATCTGAGATTTTACCTCTTAGAGCCATTCTCAATTTTTTCAATCTTAAATAACTGGTCGATTATTATCGAAGTAATAGAGTTAATTTTAGATAGAATATTACCTAGTTCCAATTTTTGGCATATATTGCATAAAAACAACAAAAAGTTTATAAGGTTTTGAAATCATCGGACGTTTCATATGGATAGACCAAATTAAAATTTTTGGACAACCAATCAATGTTTTAGTGAAATATTATTTGGAAAATTTGATTTTTCGCACGAATTTCATTTGCATTTTTTTAAATAATTTTGCTTGAGGAATTTTTAGAAAAGATACGGATAACTGGTCAATTTTCTGAAGATATTTCACGTCATTTTTTTCCAAAAAAAGGGCTTACAGTGTAGCGTACTTTAAGGAAAAACTTTTTTGAGATATTTTTATGGGGATTTTAATTCCTTGTGACTGATTAAAATTAGAATAAAAATTGATCGCTTTTCGATTTGTCATCTTTGACCGAATTTACCAAAAAAAAACCTCTTGATAAATAATTAGCTTAGGCACATCGATTTGCATAATTTGAATAATAAAAGGAATTTTTTGTTCAATATATGGTAACTTTGTTACACATTTTTGACATCACTATTACTAACGAATTTCAGTAAAGTTATTTATTTTTTAAATTAATAAAAGTCCCAAAATATACACTGCCTTTTTTTTTAAACATTCTAATCCATATTTATTTATCGTTCAGACAAATTTTGATTTAAAATATTTGTTTTTTTATTTTTAAAAAATTCTGTCAAAGACGCTTAAATATCATTTTAAACTATTGTAGGTGTGACAAGTTAATCAATGTTAAAAAAAAATACAAAAAAACTTTGCAAGAAACAATCAGACTTTTTAAAATATAATCTCACATTTATATTGAGCACTGATGTACTTAATGTTTTTACGGCAAATGGTACAGAAATCACAATTTTTTGCACTGTTTTCCTAAAAATAATCTTAAATACAAATTTTTTCATCTACGCCTTTTTTGAAAGGACCTCAGACTTTCGTTATGTAAAGTGGCGACCAGTCAAATATTCTGAAACATTGATATGTTGTTTTATTCAATCTAGTAATCAGAAGTGTCCATGGGATCCAACTCAATCCTATGACTAGTTTTTGAGATAGGTGAGTTTAAAAAAAGTTGAAAATTGCCAGTTTTTTGGAATTTTTATTTTCAAACTTATGAGCTAGATTGAATTTCTGTTGCATACACACGTTTATTGTATGTTTTAGTAATATATTAGTACATACGTACTATTAAAAATATTTATAATTACTGGTGGTCCGCCCTGTAGAACAAAGAGGACAATGGTGAACCCTGGGAGAGAGACTATCTGATGTATAGTTAAGTTTCGTGATAGAATTTGGTTGAATTTCACGGAGATTATGCGTCCTCCAGAAATTCATTTATTTGAAATATTAGGTATTGTGGGCAATTGTTGAGGTAAAGTTTATAAAGCAAGCCAACATGCCATGCGCTATGGGAAGCTTTTTTGTTTGTTGCCGACTTATATCCTTTTATGCCACATTGAATATTATTATCCAAATTGATATATTGGAATAATTGCCTAAACATTTTATATTAATTTTTTCAAAAGTCTTTCTTATTAATATGATAGCTCTATAGTTGCTGATTTTTTTATAATCTGTATTTGACTATGCTAATGTAATTATTATTGTCTTTTTCCACTCTTTAGCAAAATATTGATTTTTAGATGTAGTAAATATATTTTTAAAATATAGGTGTGTATACAGGAGTACTTAATTTTCTTAGTATGTCCCTGTTGATTCAATCATAACGGAAAAATTTTTACCAGAATGTAGGGTTTTGTATCAGTACCTCTTAAAGGGATGTTAAACTTATTATATACTGAGAAAATGGTTAGATTTGACATAGGAAATTTTAAAATAAAGGGGGTTTGTGGTTTTTGTACTTTTCTTAAAATAAAATGTCTTCCAATAAATAAATCGCATTGCATATTTTAAAGCTTAGAGTTTCACATATATAAGTGGTATTACCATTTTCAAAAATCAATAGGTAAGTACGGGTTTTTTTTTATATTGTGATTCTCTGTATAAAACGCCCTGTATAAGAAAAGAGTACTGTGCAATATTTTATCGCCAAAATACCATATTGAGCAATACTTTTTGAAAATATGCTTCGCTTGCCTCACAGTGGAATTAATGAGATTTTGCAAAAAAACTACCATCATACATTTGTGAATCACCCTGTAATTATATATTTTTGTTATTATACATATGCAAGAATGTATCACTAATAGTAAATGTGTGTATTCAAAATAAATTCAATTTAAGTAGCTCATAATTTTGAAAATAAAATAACAAAAACTGAGCAATTTTCAACTTTAACATCCCGTATCTCAAAAACCAGTCATAATATTGAGTCGGGTCCACTCAGACTTTTGGTTACTAGGTTGAGTACAACAACATACATACCGAAGTTTTAGAAAATTTGATAGCCACTTTATGATAGGAAAGTGTGGGATCCTTTACAAATATTACTTATTCGAAATTATTAAAAAAAAAAGTTGATGTTTACACAAATTTAAGCCCGCAGTAGTGCTGATAAAAATACTTGACGTATGTCTCTTTTCCCACACATCTGTCGGTTTAAAGTTAATATTTAAGTTTTGTGAAAAATTGTCCACTTCGCGAAAGGTAATTGGATAATGGTCGTAGAAAAATTATATATAAATATTTTTGTTGATTTGACTGATGATTATAATGAATTCACATTCTTTAAAAATCAGGCTCTGCTATGAAAGATGAAGAAGTTTGTATTTTTGCTCATCGTAGTCTAACAATCGTGATGTAAGTGAGACTACCAAAAGATATAATGTTTGTACTTCGTAGTAAAATTTTATAAAATGAAACGTCTCCATATCTATCTCTCCCCTTTCTATTTCTTCTGACTCTTTGTCTATGCTTTGTTCGTTACTACTTAAGATTATTTATTAATACTGCTGTATATCTATCTTTTTCTGTTATGATATTTGTTTATTTTATTGTATAACTTCACCAAAGAATTTGTATGTATTCTTTATTGTTTTGTATATAATGATGAATTATGTACAGAAATTTATATATGTTGTTCTTCCTTAATAAAATATGTTCGAAATATTTAATTTTATTTATCTATTTTGTCACATGAGGTGCAGGTATCTATTGGCTAGAAATGAAATTAGTGCAAATTATTACAGGAATATTAAATTTACTTCTAACATCTGTAACATCGAGGAAAAGTTTTGGAACCACTGCACTAAAGAGTACATTTTAATCAGGTAGTAAAAGGACATTTAAAAAAATATTTTAAACTTGAATAACTCTTAAACGGTGGGAGCTAAACTGGTCGAAAGAGCAAAATCTGATTTTGGAGAAAAAACAAGGAATGTCAAAGCTAAAGTGGGACAATGGAGTTTTCTCTCGGGTTTTCTTTATGTTAGAGTGTGATAATTTAACATATATCTCTTTAGCACTGATAAACTGAAACTAACAGAATAAACATGTCATTATCTCCATTGGAATGAAAATGTAACATGGATCAGTTTAGTTTCCACCTAGCCGGATGATACATTTGTTGAAATCTATAGAGCGATTCAAGAATTATTAAGTGATCAAAATTAAAACAAATTTCAACGGTTATTGGTAAAATACAACGGACTATACATGCCGAAAGTCCTCTTTCTCCATTGGTTCATTTGTACAGTGAACACTCAGTTAAATTTCATAAGAGCACATTATTTTAAAATCACATATAAATAACTTAATAATATAAATTCACTTTAATATATTTATTATTTTCGTACGTATTAATCTCTCGTTTTTTGGTACCCCACTGCACTGAGGCCGATCGCGTCTGTCGGTTCAATATGTCTAGTGAACGCGAGAGGTGTCTGAGATTGAATGTTAAAAAGACGGTAAATAGGAAACAGCAGTGTGCCTGTTTGAAACCTGAAAATACGCTATTTTTAGCATCATTTTGTGCATCGCACGTAGATTACGTCACGATAGTTAACTTCGCTTGGTCCAACGACTAGTTATTGTGCTTGGTCAAGGTCACTCTGACTGGGAGTCTTTAATTCAACGTTGTCAAATTGGGTGGATTTCTGCTTTTTTTGGTAGGTTTCAGCTATTTTGGCTAGTTTTAGCAGACAATTTTCTTTTGGTAGATTTCTATAAATTAATAAAAAAAATCCAATTACTCAAATAAAACTTCCTATTTAAATAATTTTGTTGCCAAAATGGATTGCTAAAAACGTTAGGGCCGGACGATCATCAAAATAAATAATCATTATTTTCGACTAGTAGATTACTTAAAAATAGTCAATTCTTTATGATTTATCGATTATTTTCGATTCTGTTCGATTCTTTTTTATTCTTTTCTTTTCGATTCTTTTCGAATTTTTCGATTCTATTCGATCCTTTTCGATTCTTTTTTATTCTTAACGATTCTTTTTGATTAATCGATTTTTTTTATTATTCGATTATTTTCGATTAATCGTTTTTTCCAATAATCGATTACTTTTATGAATCGATTATTTATTTATCATTAGAGTATAGCAAGTTAGTTAATAGTTGTAGTGTTTGAAAACAGTATAATATTGTAATCGATTAATCAAAATTTTTGCTTTTTTAGATTGACAAGTCCTTCGAAAATGTCGCGAGTTTCAGATGAAATAAAAACGGTAGTTTCTGCGCTTGTGATAGTATCAAGACTATCAAGCAACCTTTTCATGATAAAAAATTCGGAATTTAATTGTATTAAAACAGACGATGCCAAAGAAGTTTTGAGAGATTGGCTCTTGTACAAACTTTTACAAATGCTAAAATTATTGGAAAAAATGTACCCCCATTTTAAATTACCATAAGCCGCCACTCTACGTAAAACTACATTTTCATGAAAATCAAGGACAAAAATTATTTTGACAAAAAAAAAATAAGGCTCGTGCTGCAAACTTCATCTGCGTGAGTTATGCCCTACATTACCGCTCGTTAAATAATATACTATTAGTGGTCGCATGGCATGCGACATGACTCACTAGTAAGGATTATAATATTTTTATGTAACAAGGACGTAAGCCTAATTTTTTTTTAAATAAATTCAATTTTTTTTCAACTCTTTTTTAAGGAGGTCCTTTCGCCACCAATGTTAAATAAAAAATATTAGATTATGACTAAAATTAGTTTTTTCTAATAGTAGAAGTTCTTATTTATCTAATAGTGAACTTTTAACTATACCTTACCGTGCAAATTTTTGAGAATTTTTTTTTTTAAAATGTGTGTGTTCGTACAGTTTCTTACGAGAAAGTAAGACTTCAACAACAATTTTCGAATTACAATTAATTTTACTATTATTTATTGATTAGATGGAGTAGAAAAAAACTAAAAATAAGGTTTTTGAAATATTTAGGTTTTGTTTTTTACAATAAAATATATAGGTTACCATGGAATTTATTGAAAAACCCTATTTTTAGTTTTTTTTCTACTCCATCTAATCAATAAATAATAATATTATTCGAGAATTGTTGTTGAGGTCTTATTTTCTCGTAAGACACTGTACAAATACATAAAAAAAAAAAATTCTCAAAAATTTGCACGGTAAGGTATAGTTAAAAGTTCAACATTAGATAAATAAGGACTTCAACTATTAGAAAAAAAAATAAATTTTAGTCATAATCTAATATTTTTTATTTAACATTAGTGGCGAAAGGGGTGGCGAAAGGACCTCCTTAAATATTGTCCCTTATATGAGATCAACTATATAATTTATTCTATTGTTTGTAATATCTATATTTCAATAATTTTTTTATATGTATTTGATAGATATAAAACAAATTTGAAACCCAATTTTTTCAAAACTTACATAATGTGGCATGTAACCTTATTACGCTAATTCTCGAAATTTCCAATTTATTAAAGTTAAACACAATCTTTTTAACAATTTTGTTATTAGTAACCTCCAACCTTTATATTATTTAAATTTTTATCTAATTAGTACATGGATATATCTTTGATTTGCTTATTTTGTAAAGTATTGTCACAACTATCGCACTTTTAAAATGATACGTTTATTAATATTACTGGCTTTAATAACTGGTGAGTATAATAAAAAAAAGCAAAATCGATCACTTTAAACATAATTTGAAGGAGAAAACTTTATAGGGTATGGCCAAAAAAAAAGATAATTTCTTGATAATAGTGATTTACGAATGTACATTTTTAAGAATTTAGATCGAAATAACATCCAGTATCTAAAATAATTTTCTATAAACTGTTTTGTAGGTCTTAAAGAATGCATTGCAGTAAAAAACGTCATCGTTGAATACATTCCTGAAAAAGTAGTTGAAGGCAATGACGTCGAGTTTACATGTCAATACGATTTAGAAGACGATATTTTATTTGCTATAAAATGGTATAGAGGCCAATCGGAATTTTTTAGGTACACCAAGCATGAACGACCACAAATTAAAACATTTCCTTTGAAAAATATAAATGTAGATGTAAGTTTTCTGCCGTTTTATCGGAAATTTATCAATTTTAAGAGTACGTTCTTTGTAGAAATTGAACTGAACATTTTCAAATCATCCACTTATAAAAAATATTTTATATCAATGCACTCCACGATATCGTTAATTAAGATATTAAAAAGCAATGGGCAGATCTTTACGACAGCACTTGTTTGATTAAAAACTTTTTTCCGTAGATTTCTGCGAGTTCTGTTGATAAAGTGAAATTAGTAAATGTTACAACAGGAACTAGAGGAAAATACAGTTGTGAAGTACTTCCAGATGCTCCCGCTTATAGAAATGGCGTGGGTAAAAAAATACTAGTTGTTTTGGCAGCCCAGCATAAAAAACGTAAGATTTGTATAGCGACATTGTGATGATCTCACATAATCTTACCTTTGATTTTGATTTAAAAAAAAAATTGTTTCTGGTTCCTGTCTACTTTCTTGATGAGTGAGAGAGAGATAGCGAGGGAGTGAGAGAAAGAGTGAGAGAGTGATAGTGTTAGAGTAATAGAGTAGTGATACAGATAGAGGTAGAGATAAAAATGAGGTTATATAATATATTATGCTATAAAAACTACATCATGAAAAGCGACTAAGCTTATATTCGTAGAGAAATAGAGGACAATAGAGCTTTTGATCGTCTGATTTATATATGAATGGGTAATCTATATATCACAGTATAGCATTGGACCTTTCCCTTCTAGTACATGAAGGCCATTCCGAAACCTTAATTTACTGCTTTTGGGTGGATACTAGAGAGATATTGCAAGTTACTATAACGTCGGCCACTAATATAGTGACAACGTAATTATAAGCAAATAAATCCATGCTAAAATCAGACATTTCAAACCTGAAGTTTTGACATTAGGGTCCTTGTCGTTATACAAATTTTTAACATCATTTTAAAAATTTAAAATTACAGTTCATCTTTTTTGTTGTCTATAGTAGTACATAATACAGAAGAGGCATTAGAAATTACCATTTTAGAAGGTTTAAATGACAATGATATTTGATATTTAATATTAAAAAACTTTGACTGATACGAATGTCTGCGAGTGCACCCGAAAGCTATAAAGTCGCCACTATCTGCTGCCCTTAAACATCCACAATTAACGACAGGTACAATCTGTAATAAAGTCAGTTCTAGAACGTAAATGATCTGCGCATGCTTAGATGTCAAAATAAGAGCTGCACTAATAGTGACTGACCTTAATTGAACTTGAAATACCTCTCTACTTTTTGAGACAATTTCATAATGTATGAGATTGTCCTCCTATCTTGCTACGTCATATGCATGTCATATCTCAAACTCGAGATAATACAGCTAGTCAGTTTTGGTGAGAAAGAATGTAATTTTTTTAAATAGCTTCATTTAAATAATATAAAATCATTTTCATTCCGTCAGTCTTCAAATATAAAATTATTGACTTCAATAAATCAAAGTACGACTCAAGTCGCCATTTTCATACCACTTTTCCGTCACTCAAAGTGCGTCCATCTGTGACATCCCGAA